AACTCCCACATTATTGTAAACAAATGCCAAAAGATTAGGATTTAGGCGCGGATCTAATTGAAAATAAAGAGATTTTTTTTTTGGGTTTTTGTAAAAAGACAATCAACTTAGGAAATTACGAACACCCCAATGTATTTATGTGTGTGTGTGTGTGCACATCAGCAATTATTCATTAAAGCAAATTAAGTGTATTACAGCTCAAAAGCGTTAGTTTTCGAGCAGTTTAGTAGCTTTCGAAAATTAGATAATTGCCTGAATATATATGTGTTTGTGTGTCTGCGTGTCTATAGGCATAGAAGTATTTATAATTGCATTTCTTATTTGTATGTAGTCAACATGGCAAGATTACATTGTTGCTTGCATTAAGTTACCGTTATTCGTGCAGTACAAGAATTTATTACTTATTTAATTTTCATGAATATTCTATGGCTACGCAAAGATATGTTAATGGTATAAAATTAATTTCGTAAAGATACAAAAGTAAATGCATAAGCCTAAGGGGGATATGTCGATATTTACTATGCATTGTAGAGAGATCTGCTGTGTTAGGGAGAATATATGAGAAATTAGTATTAAAATTAACTACTACATATTCGCATTAAAATTTTATTGATCTTTACACAAAATTCTTATAGAAATAACTTTAAATATTATAGATAGAGCCTTCCTGGGTTGCTGTGTATAATGCTTACACCCAAGATCAAATTTGACACGGACTGACCCATTTAAATTGAGCGCACAAACCGAATCGATCAAAATTTTTTCTTGAATTGCTATAATCTTCTATTATGTACGTGCGAAGTTTGATCTCCAGCACATTAATTCGGCGGAACATTCGAACGTAATTGTGACTGACTTTTAGTCAAACATGAAACGTGAGTTATAGCTTTGTCATCGTATGCGCCATCTTTGGATCCCTGTGACCTTTTCTGCTTACGAGACTGAAAAAGTCACTTGGAGAAACACGTCGTGTGTCAATTGAAGTTAACTAAAGTCATTCGCTAAAAGCACTGAGGGCAATCACAGCAGGCAATAATAAAGATTTGTATTAAAATACGTTAAAAAAATGTTCTTGTTCTCAGTCCGAGTCAAATCAGATCATAAATCATTGCTTTTTGAACAGTGATATCACCAATTTCGATTAAAGGATTGTCAAATTCCAAATTCCATTGACCTAACTGAAATCTAAACAACAAAAGTTCGTAGATTCACAGAAAAACGCAAACAACTTATATTCTCGACAGACAATGTCGAACTGCGTTCATATTTTTCACATGAAAAGGCTTTCTTGAGAATTTTCCAACCACCTGGAGGTAATAAATATCACAACACTTCGAACTGGGTTACACAGTAGCAACTATATACATACATAGACTAAAATCAGCCTAATCCCAAAGCTTTGTTGCTTGACCACTTCAATTTCCATTCGTTGGTAGGTAAAATTTTGCAATTTCTACTTTTGCATCCTTTCATTTCAAAATTTCCACATTGACACTTAGGCAATTCAGACTTGGCAATGATAATTTGTTGCTGCACTATTTAATAAATAATTTCATAATAATTTTGATTTGAACGAAGTTGTGCTTTCAAATTCTCAGACACAATGCCGCTGGCTCTGATATTTACATAACTGTATGTGAATAGTATTGTGCCAATGCATGTGTGTCAATAACATCTCTCCAGATGCACGTATGTATGTGTGTAAGTACACTCGCATTCATATTTTGTCTCTCCAAATTCGGTGCAAAAGTTTCCTTCTTGCTGTCTTATTTCCAACTCAGAATGCAAATAATTTTAATTGCTTGGTAATTTAATATTCACATTTGTAGCAGACAGCGGAAACATTGCACTTTAATTATATGGAGTAAATTCCATTGATATTAATCGAGAATATTTGTGAAAATATGATCTTGAAGCTATGAAATTTATTAATTTCTCAAAAAAATATATATTTCAATTATTAAAAAGAAATAATTGTTGGAATATTGTCAATCCAAATCATTAAATAATTAAAAATGAATACACAGTTAATACCAAATGTATTTAGTAACTAATATTATAAACACTCCGGATTGACAAAAAAAAAATCCTTTTTCACGTATTTTAGTACAAATCTTTATTATCACCTTCAGAATACGCTTAATCTAATTTTCCATATCTACGCTTATTATAAGCCTCGGCTTTTGGTGCTTTCAACGAATTTTTATTCTTTCGGTTCGGTTAATTTTTAGAGCAGCTAAATACTGTTGAACAGTTTATATGTTCCAGTCCGAGTCAATTTTGATCGCATGGTAAAATTTTGTATACATACTAATATATATTAGTCTCATCTTCATTTTTCCACAGCAGACCTTATATACTTATGAATACTTACTATGGCACACATTTTTCTTAAGCATTGGCTCCACTTTATTAAACTCAGAGTAAATATCTCAGTGATGAATATTAGTCACTTAACATTGCATATTGCCTTAAAGACACGCTTACTTTCACAAGAAACGTTTGAGTTGAACAAACTTGCTTCCTAATTTAAATTCATAAGGAATATTTACAGTTTAGAAAGGTAAAATGGGATAAAGTTTATTATTCCTCATAAAACCTTGAAAAAAGGAAAAAAATTTATCTATTACTACAAGTAATTGTAATATATGAAAATTTTTTCATATCATTATTAATATTGTAATACAAGTAGCGAAATAGTGAAATTAAAAGTGAAAATTGAAGAATTTATTACTATTCTCCCTATCCTTATTTAATTATGTTATTTCCCAGTAAGTCATCGCTACTGAAATTACAATAAAATCTTCACTCACTCTTCTCTCCCGCTCTCTCTCTTCATTTAACTTTAGGTATTTCTTCATTACTTTCTACCGGTGTATCAGTATGCTTTTTTTTTTTTGTAAAATTGAAATACTTATTTCGAATGGGAAGGTAAAAAAAAAGTCAGTTCAAAGTATTGACCATTGATTTTTATACCTTTTGTCTATCTTTCTGGTAATTTGTGGATACCATGTGAATAGAAATATTTGAAGCAAACCAATCAGACAACCAATTTTAAACTTCAGCGTATGAATCGAAGTGCTGCTCAGCGATGAAAATATATGGTAGTCGAAGGTGCGAAGTCAAGTAGTTTGATTGTATCCTGAACCGATTTTGCTTTAAGTGGAGTTGCTTTGTCGTGTAACAAAATTACTTTGCCGTGTCTTCTGGCCCATTCTGGACGTTTTCCGATTAATGCATGGTTCCAATTGATCATTTGTTGTCTGTAGCGATTAGTATGAAACGTTTCACCAGCTTTTAAAAGCTCATGATATAACGCACCCTTCTGACCCCACCAAATACAGAGCATTGCCTTCTTACCGAATCGATCTGTTTTTGCAGTCGATATTGATGGTTGTCCCGAAATATCACATAATTTTCTACGTTTGGGATTCTTAAAATAAAAATAGTTTTCATCGATTTCATGTCTTTGAAGCAAAATTTCACTAGTGTTTTTTCGGGTTTCCATTTGTCTTCAATTCAATTTGACCATTTATGTGGCACCCAAACCAAAAAATAAAATTACCAACACATTTGTACCTTAACGCTCACTTAATACCGATACACCGAAACCGTTCACTTCGTTTACTGTTCCTTAATTTATTATTATTTTAAGTCGATATCTTTTATTTTCCTAAATTTAGCATATGCAAAGCTAGCTGCAATCACCGCCATCATATTCATTAGATTTATTCAAGCAGCTACCAACACATGTTACTCATACGCCTCGCCAACCCGCTTTTCTTACATTCAGTGCTCCTGCAAGTGTTACTCATACGCCCTGGCGTGCAAGGAAATCAACAACGCAATAGCCTCGCATTTCAGCACGCAAATTGATTGGGCAGACTACGTTTAACTTTTCGTTGTTCTTGTTTTTGTTGTAGTTTTATTTATGTTAGTATTAGTTCAGGTGCGCTGGGAGTGCGCAAGTGTTTGTGCATTATTTTGTAGCACGAGTAACGCAAGCAGCGAAGCGCACATGGAAACACGGAGCTAAGTAAACAGCAGCGCGGAAAACAGTGCACGCAAAAAGTTTGCAACGCCGGCAAAGCCAAACTTAATTTCGCTAGATGCGCTTGTTAGTTAGCCATACACATACACATACATATATGCATTATTGTTGTAGTTGTTCATATTTACTTAGCGCATGGCATCCCAATTTGCCGCTGCAAGCAAGCCGCTGTACTTGAATATATGCCGCCCCAGCGAGTGTTTGTGTGTTTGCTTGGTGCACACAAATAAAATTTCAAGTGTGTACTTAATATTGTTTTTGAAGACTTTTGGTATGTGTTTTTGCGCATATTTTTCTTGTCCTTTTTTGGCAATGCGCTGCAAAACAAACAATAACAATTGCAACGCGTGCAACGACTAAAGTAAATAGCAAATACAAACACAAATGCGAAGGCTGTGATTAGCAATTGTGACTGCAATCCAGTGCAAACATAAATATGTGAGCAAGGGCACACACACCTACACACACATATGTGAATGATGTGTATATGGGTACGCTATCAATTGTTCGAGCTAATAGTTGACCAGTTGACTACTCCGCGCCGCCGCTTCGGCTCGCAACGCAGCTAAAGGGCTTAACAAGCTAAATTGGTGTATGCACACATACATACAAGTACATGCTTTTGAACTCATATTGACGCTATCATTGCCTAACTATGCACGTTAAGGACTCAAATAATATACACACATATATACACAAATACAAATAAACCGACACAACCACACACATAGACTCAATTACACTTAAGCATATTGAAAGCGCGCAAATATGCATGAACACAAAGTGTGCACACTCCACCCTCCCCCCGCTGACCATAAAGTACTTCCATGAAGCGGCAACTAGGCGTACAACAAACTTAACATGTGCTACGGCTGCCCGCTGCCCCCATCTATGCGACCCACTCTATAAACTATTACCAACTCATCGATATGCAAGGCATGCCACTTACCTCAAGGCAAACAGGACACTCCAATAATTGGACAATGTGTTGCAGGCATGTGGCGAACTTCTGCAGTGACTGCTGATTAATGCTGGAATGCTGCTGATGCGCCCGCTGCATACGCTGCAAATATGCGGCGCAGTGTAAAGTTGCAAAGTCGCGGTGTTCGCATGAAAAGAGAAAGAGGCAAAGGAAATTTTTGAGAAAAATTTTGGAAACTTTCTAAATAAATCTCTCCAATTAAGGAGTACAGTATGAGAGTTTGTGCATTTTTAAAGTTTTTGTTGATTGTTGAGAAAACAAAGTAGTCCATATCAAAAATAAAAATTTATTGAGTAAATCCTTTGAGCTGTAAGTAAATAAGACTCTCCTGGCCAAATAAATGAAGTTGCAGGTAAAGCTATCGATTGCAACGATCTGCTTGAATACTTTTTAATAATGAAATGGATATCTTGGTAAAGGGAGACCTAGCAAAAATGTAAGATATACCACTAGCTTGCCAGAAGTTTGCTTTCTCCTTCAATAAACTCTTTATTTAGCTTTCAGCCTTACTTATAGAAAATGATCTCAACTGTCTACTTGTAACTCAATATTTCTTCCAATTAATTTTAATTTTATCAGCGTCCATGTTTGGTAGTTTCAGTACACATTCTGCTATCTTGTAGATAATTGAATCTAATTTAAACTTTCTTATCCAGTTAAAAGTTACCTTATTTTGATTGCTATTCTAAAATCTCTTGGACCAGGTTTCTCATTCCTAGATAGGGGTAACCTTTAAAGATATACGAGTATTTGGTGAAGTTGAACTAAAAAAATTTCAATCTTTTGAAATCTTAAGATTTAGTTACTTTCGTGACTTATTACTGACGACTAATAACTTAAAAGGTCTAGAAGCTTAGAAAAAGCAAATTTAGTTCTTACTAATATCTAGCTCTTCAGTATGCTAAAATCATGAAAGTAAAAATTAAAACTTTTCCCTAAAATTTAAAATAATTTTAATAAACCGAAATGGTATAATGTGCGCTAATTGTTTGAAAGTTTATAAATATCCACTTATTACCTTATACTTATTAGAAAATTTTGTACGTTCACCGAAGCGTGATTTAATAGTCATTAAAAATATTTTGAGCACTTTGATCACATACAAAATTTCTAAAATACTTCTAGAGCGACTGATCGGCTACGCCTTTCCTGGAACTCCCATAAACCTTGATTTGCAATCGATGCTAGTAGACAGAGAATTATTTTTAAGTCGTTGAGTTCTCATAGAGAAATTTTTTTAAATAAATTTTGAAGCTTTTGCATAATGGATATGTCTATAAAGTCAGTGAAGATGAAGATACAATATCAACATATTAGTTTATCCATAACGATATTTGGACTTCATTATTTAAAATTCTGAGTATCTAGCGCCTAACTAAATGCTTCCACGTCTGCCAGTGGTATTTCAAAGTCATAAGATATTTTCAAACGTATTTCTTTGAATAATAGAAACTGCTACTGTTTTCATTTGTAAAACTTCTCTAGTATTATATATAGCAGTCATTTTCAATACTTAGGCTAGCAATATAGATGCTATATGCCAGTTTTTACTCTATCTCCTCCCAAGATTCTAAAATGCTCCGACAGTAAGTACATCGGTACATGTGATGCGAACACCTGGGTGGGCTGGTAGGAAGGATAAATTATGGGTCGCCTATACATTACATGTAAATATATATATGAAAATATGTGGAACCGATCAAAGCTGTAAGTGATTTGAGTAGATGATGATCATTAAACTTTGGTCGTATAAACTACGGACGTAAGTAAGAAATATACTTGTATATTATGATGTAAATTATCAAAGCGTTTGACCGCAGTGTGAGGCAGATTTTGAAAATTGATTGAAATTGAAATGCACCCTATTCTATGAACTCACTCTCCTCAGGAGCCTAGAAACCTTTGACGATTAAACTTCAAGTGTGTGTGTGCGTGGCTATGTGCGTGTGTGCTTGCGGTTGTTTATAGCTTACGTTTGCATATTTAGGTCAATTAAATTGTAATGCAGCATAATGATAGTCAGTATATTGCCTCTGCATGGATAATTCAATAAAGTTGTTTGGCTGCTGCCCTCAACTCAAAGAGAGCGGCAGGATGGCTGCTGGCTACTTGAGTGCTCTGTGGCATACAGACGGACATATATATACATGTGTAGGTATATGTTTGAGCTGCTGATATTCACATTATTAAATTTGGTTTTGGATAATGCTCGCATTCACTGAAAGTCTTCCACACTGCATGTGCCATCGCTCATAAGCTCAATTTGCTTAATTAAATCAGACCGCTGGGTCTCCACCCTTATATGTAATGATTACTCTTTCAAATATTATTATTTGCAATAGTACTTTGCGCTTATGAAGTACAGTGGATTTCATAAATTTTTGAATTTCGTAATGTTTTTTGTTGTAATTTTTGTATTGCTTTTCTAATCTAAAACTCCACATACGGTATTATGACCTTCAAGATGTTTCCGTTAAACGGTTAAGTAATAACTTCGGAAACTACGCGTGAAACATTACCAGCCAATGCTAAGTGCTACCGTTATGGCTGGAAACAAACGAAGCGTGTAATACCGTTGCAGAGTCACACTGACCCACATTCTCGGCGTAAGCTTGCAAAAAACCATATCATAACCACAAGCGGGCTGTTGAAAAACATCTACCAACTCACTGGCTTTTATGTAATAGCAAAGCGAGATGACTACCTTAATTAACGATGATTGCGTGAAGAAGTTGTTAACGAATTGCAACAACAAAAATACGTATACGCTAACAAAATGCATGCATCGCGTGACATGCAAGTTGCAACATGTTCGACACGTTTGGATGTTCTGGCAACAGTAAAAAAAAACAGTAAAGAAGGGCTATATGCATTCGCATTAGAAGCTTTGCAACTTTGGCTTGGAGTTGCTATGGTACCAATAGTTTAGCGTAATAATTTCCGAGATATATGGTTGTAGTTTTAAAACATGGCTGACTCAACGGAATTGCATTTAACTGAGCGTTCGGAATTTTAGTGGTATCAGAAGCAGTAATCATTTTCTAAATTCTCAGAATGGAGAATTTTTTTTCAAGTTTTAGCAAACGGATATCGTGAAATCGCATAAAGTTTTTCTCGAGTCGCATATTTGTCAACCTTGAAAGAGAGTAGGAGGTTATGTCTATGAATTGCTGTAAAACCAGTCATACTATCCCAACACCCTAACGAAATCTTTTTGCACAATTTGACTCTTTATACTATTTCCAAAGTTGGAGACTAAACTATCGAAACTGCAAAGTAACCCCTCTCTTTATGAAGATATATTATTTTTGTTATTCGAATTCTTCAGCAAATCTCTTGAGATGCTATCAGATAGAGATTATATCATCTCTAAGATTTTACACCATCTATTTAGATGCTTACGGTAATAAAAACTTAGAAAAGTAATTTGTCTGGGTCGTAAGAGAAATCTACTGCTGTATTGTGAACTCAGTTTGAACAGGGCAATATTGGTTGGAATTCAAAGTTGTTGTTGGCTTCTAGATAGACGAAGCTATAGACAAGTTCAAAATTATTGCACCACCAATTGGCTTAAGACGCAAGTAGATTCATTGTTCACTTGCTTGTTTTATTTCGTATTCCGATATTTTACCTCCAGATCAATTGAATTCATTTTTATATTCATTCAAAAAAACCAATTATGCTCTCAATATAGGTTGGTTCTTATGAGGCCGCAGAATCCAATTTATCCAACATAATTTTTGTAGTCCCAAGCTGAAAGCATTCGTAGTTATTTCTCAATTGCCGATTGTATACATATTCCCAAGTATGAAAACTAGAGGATTTTAATTTGTGTTCCAAGCACATTACGCAGAGCTTATGTTAAACACATAAAACTCATATACTTCACTCACCTTTCGTTGCCCCTCCACCTGTGACGCCATCGTCTCACTATCACTACTATTCGTTACATTCTCTTCCTCATCATCATCTGTATTTTCAGCATTGTCCTCACTGCAGCTGCTGTCTACCTCCGCTTGATTGCGCCAAATCACCACGCTGACATCGGTTGCACCACTCTGCCAGTGCTCCCGTATTCTGCTTGCAATTTCGAAAATTTTCTGTCCCAAAACATCGTTGCCATTGAACTCCAGCACTGTATCGCCAACGCGCATGCCGGCTTCCTCCGCGCTGGAGCCTTCCTGTATGCCACTCACCCACGGGTAGGGATCCCAGGGTGCTCGACTTAGATGCAGGCCCAGTGTGCCATTCGGACAGGCATTTATTTTGCAGATTTTCAACATTTATTTTTTGTTACTTTCTCCTTTGTCTGATAGTGATCCCTGGAAATAAAAATAGTATATATATAGTATATAGGTCACAACAGCCCAAAATAAACTAAAACTCCATTACAAATGAACAGTGATTATATGTATGGCGTGAGAGTTAGCCAGTATAACAAAACATAACCTAATCTAGCATTCGAAATTTTTGACTACCAGAGTTCAATACTATGTCCATCAACCCGATTGGGTTCAAGTACGATACAGTAGAGAAAAAAAAACTAATAAATCCTGCTTCCATAACCTATTGGGGCAAGCTTGGAATTTGGCAGAGTTCTATTACTACCGGTCCAATTTGTATATAATGAAAATAAGATCCAGTTAAAAACAAAATACTTCAGAAAAACAATTTTACATAACCACACAACACAGTGTGCTATCATTCCTCGCGATTCTCCCCGGCAACCAACAAGCAGCATAGCAAACATGTCAACAAAGATAAAATCCAACAATCATACTCGTATTTGGTAGGCACTGGCCCAGCGACCTCAGCACACCACTTACCAAGCCACAATAATAATAAAGACACAGTTAACAGCTGCCACACACTCGCATACATACATACGTGCAAACGGCGTGAGCGGGCGTGACAACGTGCCCTCAACGCTTGACGCTGGGCTAAAGTGCTTGTCACTTGGCACTCACTGGCGTTCGCTGGCGATCACCGGCCGTTGATGCGTGTTTGTTGACGTGAATTTAATTGCCGCTTGAATTGGCACAAAGCCTTCACCTACAAAATCGGTGTGCAAACATGACAAAAACAACAACGACAGCAACAAAGCTGATAACCCTTTTCGGAGCTGTGAGCTAACACAGAAAACCCCAATAACAAAATGTGATAAAATAAAACAACAACAACAACGTAGTGCGCAGCGTCATTACAACACACGTGAGTAGACACCTGAGCAAGGCACTACGTGCATATAAACATATCATATATATACATGCATTAATGTTTATGTACAAGTATATGTATGGTTGCGTCTATTTGTATGCAACGCAGAACGCGCCCAAATGTTCATTTAAGTTTTGCTATTTGCTTGTCTCTTTGCTTGCTTCGACAGCCTTAAAAGGTACACATATGTTGTTGTTGTTTTGTTACTGCAATTTTAGTTGTTTTTGTTGGTGGCGTGTGTCGCTTGTCGATCAGGTGTTACCTCGCTGTTGTTGCACTCTTCTCGTTAGTACGGTTCCTACTGTTGTTGTTAATGTTATTGTTTTTGTTCTATTACAAATGACATCGTTTACATGACGATCACGTTATCGCCATCGAAAGTGAAGCCGCCGTCGTGTGCATCGCTTGAACGCATTAATGGCTAAAAGCCTTTGGCTTGGCGGCATTTTCGATGACAGCGAAGTAATTGCCTAGCTTAACCCTGAAACGGGTGAAGACGAAATGGAAGTTAACGTCATTTGGTGACCTTGAGCCGGTATAGCGGAAAGGTGGTTCAAATTTAGGTGCTCCATATTGCTTGACTGTAACTTTGAGAAAAATTTTAATTGCAACATTTTCAGATATTTAGAAGAAATAAACTGAGAGAATTAGCTACATATTATTTTTATTTATGATAGACTCGAAGTGTTTCATCAAAACTCAAGAGTCACCTGATTCATATCCAGAAAATATTGACAACACAATGATCGGATCACCTTCATCTTTCCCAAAATCTAATCTAGCTTTTCATACTTGAAGAAATGTATATGAACTAAATGAGTGTGTTTTCTTTTATGGTATTCTGATTTATTTGATATTTGAGTGGATAGAAAGGAGAGTAATAAGCCCTTAGCCACAAGTGGCCCGCTTTCGTCTCCCGAAGTAGTCCAACTGGATGTTGATTGGTTGGTTGGTTAAAAAAGATGACACAGGCAGTCACACTTACTCCATCATTAGGCCCATTGTACTCCCGGTTGGTAACCAAATTAAGCCTTATCCATCAACTCAGTGGATTTGGTAACCTCGACTGTCCTACGCCTTCTATTCCTACATGACTGGATACTCTGTTAGCCACTGAGAGTCTGATTAATGCTTGCTTGCACAACCTAGCAACCAGCATAGACTTAATTGCCAGTCAGCTGTTCACCAGTAGGTTTATAGTCTTGCTGGTTAGAGCAGTAGCCCTTTTGGCATTTTCTGTTATGGCCACAATTTCGGCATGAAATACTGAATTGTAGATTACGGCTTTGGAACTGTCGATAACAGAACCATTGCTCCATTCTTCTCTTCTGGAGACTGAAAATGTTGTGTTTAATTCCTCATGGGTCTCTTTTTCTCGGCCGCATTGCCAACTGATCCAAACATACTCAATTTACTTTATATAATTAAAATTTGACAGAAGTCTGAATAATTAACTAAGAAAGGCAAAACAGAGTTATTGAACTTTTGTGGTCAGTACAATCGAGTTTTAAAACCTTTTCTCATTAAAAATGCTCTCTTCTCACAATGAACACACTACACAGGTCTGAAATCTATTGCCAATTAAATACTTGTGTAAAATTAATTAAATACTTTTATATCATATTATGAAAATCAACTAAATTGCTCAATAAGGGGTCTATCAGAGCATGGTAGAAGGGTTGTCTGTAAACTAGGATTAAACACAGAATATTTTCAATTTTAGTAATACTTCTATTCTTCCTGCATTGAAAATATCCTCACAAATATTGCGCATCCCTCATTCATCATCTACTACCAACTGAAGAGACAATAATTATATACACAATTGTTGATAACGTTCTGGAGTCCAGTATCTATTACCATGTTTCTCTTTGAAAGCTTCTCCAATATTCTTAATTTCAACTCCTTCGTGTCTTTTGTGCCACATTTGAACTTAGTGATTTTGTATAATCCGCCGCTAGGCTACCCGTAAAAAAAAAGAAGCTCGTTAAATCTCTCTGGAAAACCACTAGTATCTTGGTATTGATTTATTCTCTTCAATAACTAACCTAATGGATGTCTCAACTGCATTTAACAAATCGTGTTAGGTTTTAGTAGAAAAATTGTTTATTGACGGAACGATTAGAGCTGGTAAAGCTCATAATTTTAACGGTTACCTCGTTTGAAGCTACTCATTTATCGGAAGCGCCGATATCGGACCACTATAGCATATAGCTGCTATACAAGCTGAACCATCGGATTCAAGTTCCTATAAGGAAACTTTTATTGTGATTTGCATTGTATTTCGGTGCAACCGAAGTTAACGTTTTTTTTTTTTTTTGTTTTTATTAAACATTGAAATATTTGTATATAAAACAAAGCGTCCATTTTCATTTACTTATTGACCTAAACTATTTAATTTACTGGAAATGAGCTCATAATTTCCTTTTAACTGCTTCATTTATGTAAAACTATTACTAATATAAAGGAGCATGCACGCACACATACATTTCATTGTGCGAGATTTTGTGTGATTTACTTTGGAAAGGGGGAAGTAAAAATGCGCATACGTAAAATAAATATATATATATATGTATTGTATAATAATGTATATAACTTTTTAAATCAAGAAAATTTTTCCACTGACTCACCATAAAATATTTTCACCACAAGGCGGTCATATTAACGTACTTAAGTGAGATGCGAATTTAAGCAGTAATCACAACAGCAACACTAATAATTACGAGCGCACAAAAAAACTTCACGTACCCACACGTACACACATGCATACATATATATGTGTATAAATACACAGTTATATATGTGAGTACAGGTATTTAAGCTCATACCGGAACTACGAGAGCAAATGTTGGCAGCACCCAAGCGCATTTAACCACACAACAATGAACAACAGCATCACAACAGCAGTAACAGCAACCAAAAAAACATAAAGTATTTAATGAAAAAAAGGCAAAAAATAAAAGTAAAAACAAATAAAATGAATTCGCAAAAGCTGTCGAACGGCAAAGTTATTAATAAATGTTCAAGCCAAACGTATTAAGCGCCGCTTACACATACATACATACAAATAAATGTACACATGCGGTAACAAGTAGGTGCTCGCTCGCTTAAATGGCCAGCGCAATTCATTAACTCACATGCTCGACTCTACAATTGGCGGCAAACAACGGCGGCAATATTTTCAGCCGGAAAAAGTTTTGCTGCTGCATTATTTTTAATTTTGTTTATACCAACATTCCCTAATATCCGTATTCCAATACCCCCACTCACGTTCAAGCTCAACAGAATAACTCGAATACTGAATGTAACTCAGCTTTGCGAGTTCTGATTGAGTAAGCGAAATATTTTCTTGTGTCTTTTCTTAATTTTATGTTAACTTTTATTTAATATATTTTATTTTCGTTTATCAGTTCGCACTTAATTTATCAACTTGCTGACAGCTGATGTGCTTGGCTGGAGCCAAGCCGCCACAGATCCGCTTAGAATGGCACTTGAAAGGCAAAATGCCAAAGTGACGCACTTTTCATTAAGTTGATGTTACGAAATGAGGAGGTTGCGTATTTAGCATACACATATGTATAATATATACACAAAAATATTCTAAATAAATCAAGAATGATACATAGAAGAGATAAACTGCCAAAGTTTTACAATAAAAAGAAAAAAAATATTAGAATATCATAAGATCGCGTCACACACCAAAAATTAATTAAGATTATTATAGTATCATCTAATTAAAACTGTATTAAGCATACGGGCTTATATGCATTTCCAAAACATAATTTTTGTGCTCAGAAAGAAAAGCTCAAAGAACCTCTCGAAGTCTGTCCCTTCGTCTGTCCGTATATGTCAACTAGTCCCTTTTGTTTTGAGATATCATTTTAAAATTTTCCTATTATCCCTAAGAAGCTGATCATCGGAATCAAGTTATTGTACGGGAAACTTTTTCAATTGACAAGATATCTTCACAAAATTTGGCATTTGTTATTATCTAAAGCAATAATATAATCTCTGAAGAAATTATTCAGATCGAATAACTATAGCATATAGCTGCCATACAAACTGACCTAACAAAATTTTTGTAAAAAATCTTTTGTATTTGGAA